AAAGAGTCTGAGGAAGAGTTTGCTTATTGTAATCCAAGGTGCTTGTGAGTACCTCACAGTCAGGGAGACTGACTTAAAAGTGGGAAAATTACTCAAGTTTTGTTTTAAGTGTGGAAGGTGTTTTTTGAAGATGTATTTAGTAATTTACTGAAATATTGTATAGGTTAGTAAAACTGGAGCAGAAGGTGCTGTGCTGGATGAGGCTAAGAACATCAACAAGTCTTTGTCTGCTCTTGGAAACGTCATCTCGGCTTTGGCTGAAAGCAGTGTAAGTGTTCTCTTTTGTATTTTTAAACTTCAGGGTTAAAGGCTTGCATCTCTGAACATGGTATTATGCAGAAATTCTTTACTGATCTCGGTGATACGCATGGAGTCTTTTAAAAATAATCCAGTTGCATCAATGCATTGTAAATGGCCGTTATTCTTGTACTGTATTGATACTGAATAATAAAGTTACATTTAATGTTGAGGGACCTAAGCATCATATTGACAGTTTTCTTGTATTCTAGAAGTTACCAAACACGGAATTATGATTTTATGTCATCCCATGTGTGTTCAGTCTTACGTTTTATGAGTTAAAGTAGAATTTAATGTTTTTCTAATTAAGTTATACCTAGCAAAAGCTTAGCTCTTATTTAAACAAATTAAATAATGTGTCTGAAAAACCATGACTGATTCGTTTAAACATTTTCTTGGTAGACTTATGTTCCATATCGTGATAGCAAAATGACCAGAATCCTTCAAGATTCACTAGGGGGTAATTGCAGAACCACTATTGTTATTTGCTGTTCTCCATCTTCATACAATGAATCTGAAACTAAATCTACTCTTCTGTTTGGCCAAAGGTGAGTAAATGGCTTAATATTTTTCTCTTACTATGCTCAGAAATAAATGCAGAATGAGAAATAAATGAGTTACTCCATTAAGATTCCTGAACTAAACTAATTAGAATATTTACTTTCTGTAAGTCTTCAGTGCACACGTGGCTAAGTGTTGTGATCTATCTTATCTATATAAAAATCCTTAAACTGGACAGGATCCTGAAGAAGACAGTGTATAGTTTGGTTCAAAATGCAGTTTAATGTATAGTCTTGGAGGGTAATTAATACTCTTTTTTTCTTTTTTCTTTTTTTCTCTTTTTTCTTTTTTCCCCTCTTTTTCTTTTTCCTCTTTTTTTTGTGGAGGGAGGGAGGAATGAATTTTCTTTATGTGCTGGGACAGCCTGTCCTCTGCTAGCCTTTCTTTTGATAGCGTGCTAAATTACATCTTCTGGTCTGTTTCCTGTATCTAGCCTTCCAGTAACATTTGAGTTAATGCTTCTAAATTCCTGTATCATTTGTAATTGAATTTATAAGTACCCATTTCAGATTTGGTATTTTGTTAGGTATCTCTTCTTTGCCACTCTATTATTAATGCTTCATTGTAATATTTCAGTTCCCGATTGCTAGATTTAATCACTTCATTTACTGGAGCACATTACAAAAGCTGTCAGCATTTCACTTAGTTTATCTGGTCTTCTATGTTAGCGTACCTCTTCCACTTTAGTTCAACAAGATAGTTTTCTACAGGTCTTTTCAGAGAATCTGAAAAGAAAATCTTCAGAGAAGACTTTTATTATGGAAAGTAGACTAGATGACTTCAGAACTTCTTTAAAGCCTGGCAGAATATGGGTAGTTAGTGGAGGTGGAGTAATGACTGCATTCTGCAACAGTGGAGGTTTTTTTTTGGTCTTTCTTTAGAATCTAGGAGGTCCTTTCCTTTCCTCTTAGTATTTCTTGAATGAGCTATTGGGAAGTGTCTTCCAGCTGTAGCTCTGTAGTTTCACTGCCTCATGGTCTTGACTTCTTCAGGAGTTAGAGTACACTTCTGTCTCAGCTACCATAGTCTGGTATATTAATTCAGCCTTCTAGAGGTGTTAAATTTAAGCTGAAACCCTCAGCTGTATTAACTGAAGGCTAGATAAATATCACATAAATTAGTTGGAAATCATGTGCCTTTTGGTAGTCATCAGTCCCAATAAGACTTTGCAGAAAGATGCTTATAGGAGTTATAATATGGGGGTAGGGGGAATTTCTACTTACCATTGTGTAGACAATCAATCTGAACTTGATAGCTTGTATACCTTTTTGGTTAATGGAGATCTAACAACTGGATTTTTATGTTGAAATGGGCTGTTTCTTAAATAAGCTTGATGGTTTACACCCTCAAAGTATTACGCTTTCCATTGGAGAAACGTTTGCTAGGTGTGGTGAATGCTACCCTTTGTTCAAAGCTGTGCACTGTCCTGACTTGAATTCTTTCAGGTGAGAGTATGCAGCTGAATTTTTCCAACTCAAACAACCTGAGATTTTTCAGCCTTCCCAAAGTTTATGCTATTGCTCTGTCCATTAACAGTTGTATCAATCCAATTGAAAGAATAGTAAGTTGGCAGGGAGTAGAAATAAGCTTTTGGAAGAGGTGGGAATTGTTTACTCTTTCACCAATGATATGTAGAAATTTTATTGAAGAGCCTTTAATTGTTTTCTTTTTAAAAAAAAAAGTTTCAGAGCTTTTTGCTCTTTCTATGCAGAGCAAAGACCATTAAGAACACAGTCTGCGTCAATGTGGAGCTCACTGCAGAACAATGGAAGAAGAAGTATGAGAAGGAAAAAGAGAAAAACAAGACTCTGCGTAACACCATACAGTGGCTAGAAAATGAACTCAACAGATGGCGGAATGGTGAGAAGCAATTATATTCTTGTTCTGCAAACTTTAGGCAAGACGATAGACGCCGAATTGGTATTCAGGATACCAAAAATAACTAAGAGCACTATGCAAGGCAGTAGTGGGAATATTAATATTCCCACTATAATAGCTAGGATAGTCAGTTGACATTGGAACTTCATATTTTTCACTGTATTGCAACTGGAACAACTTCTGATAATCACATAATGGCAAAAATGTCTGGAAGTATACTGGTATTAGGTTCTTCAACACTTAGTTTACTACAGAACTAGAGTTACATACATTCTAAAAAGTTTGGAGCGGAGGGAAAAAAATGATATTAATTGTAAATGCAGAAACTGAGTAAAATTTCCTGTTTTGGTTTTCTAACTCAAATCAGTATCACAAGATACTGTCTTTGTTTAAAACTTAAACATGCTAATAGGCAAAAAACCCACCCAAAAAGTCTTTTATAGAGCTGGTATTAGGCCACACCTGAAGTGTTAAGTGTAGTTCTTCCAGAATATTGACACAAGATACTGGAGTGTTGGAAAGAGCCCATACCATTCAAGGACTGCATAAAATGTTTTGTAATAAGGTGCTAAGGAATTCGGTTTAATTTACCAGAGAAGTGCCTTGATTAGTGTGTGTGGTATGTTTTGTGTGTGAAGTTAGTGAAGTGTTCTCATCAGAAAAGGCTTAATGAACATAAAAGGATAAAAGTGTAATTGAACAAGTATTTTAAATTAGAAGCAAAGGAATTTAAAAGTAAATATGGCTACCTAGCAAAACAGACTGCCAAGGGAAAAGGAAGGATTTTCTGTCTTCAGGGCAAGTTAGGTGCTTTTCTAGAAGATAGTTTGATGTGAGATTTGGAGCTCATAGCAGAGTAACTGCATGAAACATGTTCTGTGGTAAGCAGGAGATAGTTTGGATGATCTGGTGGTCATTTTTTTTTTTTTTGCCACATAGTCATGTGAACTTGATTGCTTATTAACCATGGAGCAGTACTGTTAATAGGGAGTATGCAGTACTTCTCAAGGCTAAGTTTGTGGAAGATATTTCATGGCTGACTGTACTAAAACTAAGTATAATCTTTTCTTTAAGGGGAGACTGTACCAGTTGATGAACAGTTTGACAAGGAGAAGGCCAACTTAGAAGCTTTTGCAGTGGACAAGGATATTACTGTTATTAATGATAAACCAGCTACCACAATTGGAGTAACTGGCAATTTCACTGATGCTGAGAGAAGAAAATGTGAGGAAGAAATTGCCAAACTATACAAACAACTGGATGACAAGGTATGCCATTCTTATTTAATGTAAGACCTCTTGGAAATACATCTTGAACTATATTATATAATATTTAATTTGCTAGTCTTCACTTGTTAGTACAGCTTATTAAATATTTGCTGGGAATGCCTACTCTGACTCTGAAGCTCTGATTAAGAGAAATCAAAATTGCCTTATCTGGTGCTAAGAGAGCGACTAAGAATGGATGCTCACTTCCCTTTGCTGAAACTACTGAAAAATGTCCTCAGAACTAAAGTATTGGTACGTAGAAAACGAGACAGAAATGAAAGTTAGGAAGGAAAAGTTAATGATAATCTTCAACGGTATTTCTGCTTTCTGGGTGTAGAACATTCCTAGCTCTTCATTTGGAATAATACTGTACCAGAAGAAGGAAAATAATGAGAAAGCAGGAAAATGAGTAATTTGAAAACTGCAGGTTTTTTTCCTCCCATGTTATGTATATTTTATTTGAACATAATTTTAAATTTAAGCAGTAGTACTACATTTGGAGAGAAAAAAAGTATCTTAATTGTTTCTTGGAAGTTAGAACTAGTTGGAGAAGTCTTGCAAAAGCACAGGTATGAGAGTTTTGTCTTTGAAGTGTGGTGTTTTACACATACATGCCAGGTTAAGAGCCTAATGGATCAGCCAGTGAAATCAGAAGGCTTATTTTTTTACTTTTATTGCTTTCAGTTGTATAATTGTCTCGGAACATGGAAAAGTTAGATGCCTAACATCTACTGTCTCTTAGATTATTTTTCCTGAGTGGTATTTGTCAGTTTATTGAACACAGTCTTACCTCAACTGCAGGATGAGGAAATCAATCAGCAGAGCCAACTAGTAGAAAAACTGAAAACACAAATGTTGGATCAGGAAGAGGTGAGTTTTGCTTTTGCGTCTTTATTCTATTTTTGTTTGTCTTTCCTTTAAAGAAATCTGAGATGTTCTGAATAGGTCGCAGTTTATGACCAGGGAGTAGAATGGTGGCTTGCTGCTGTACAGTGGTTCTCTTTTCATTCCTTATCTAAATGCTCTGTCTATTCATTCCCCCCACTTACACTGCGGTAATGGCTAAACTTAAACCAGTTTACTTGAACCGTAAGTATGCATGAAGATTGAAGGAATTCAAATATTTTATGCAAAGACATTGGCAGTTGTTTTCCCTGTGCAAAGTCAGCAGTTTGTCAAAACTGCAGATACCTTGATTTACTGTAAGAAAGCTGTTTTAAGGTTTACTTTTGGTCAGTTGCTGTACAGAGAGAAGGGGGAGGAGGGAAATGTAGTGGCCCATAATGAAAAAGTAAGTATCTATGTGTTGCTTCAGACCATACTTGCTAGAATATTCAAACAATTTGTACGCACATGTTGCCAGTGATGTAACTTAATTAAATGGGGAAAATAGCTATTAATAATGAAATTGTTAACTTAATTTAGCCAAGATATTAGATAAAATAATTCTATATAGCACAAAGATTTAAAAAAAAAAAAAACACTTTGTGTACATGGCAAGAAGGAAATGGGTTGAGGACTCAGGAAGCTGGAGCTACTGTTTAATCTTATTCAAATAAATAAATCTGCCTCTCTAGCAACTGCTCACTTTGTTAGCCACTGAAGAATAACTAGACAATGTTAAAATGCTGGAAGATTAGTCCCTAGCCTTTTGGCAATTTCAGACTCACGACTAGCGTTCAGTGGCTTTTTTGAGAACTTGCAATATTCCACGTCCATTTCCAGTTGCTGTCCTTATGTGTCTTGATTTGTAATCGCTTCCATTTTGAATCATAGAATCATAGAATTGTTTAGGTTGGAAAAGACCTTTAAGATCATCAAGTCCAGCCATTAACCTAGCATTGCCAAATCCACCACTAAACCATGCCCCCAAGTGCCACATGTACACATCTTTTAAATACCTCTAGGAGTGGGGACTCAACCACTGCCCTGTGCAGCCTGTTCCAATGCTTGACAACCCTTTTGGTAAAGAAATTTTTCCTAGTGTCCAATCTAAACCTCCCCTGGCGCAACTTGAAGCCATTTCCTCTTGTCCTATTGCTTGTTAGCTGGGAAACGAGACCAACACCAACCTTGCTACAACCTCCTTTCAGGTAGTTGTAGAGAGCAATAAGGTCTCCCCCAAGCCTCCATTTCTCCGGGCTAAACAACCCTAGTTCCCTTAGCCATGCCTTGTAAGACTTGTGCTCTAGACCCTTCACCAGCTTCGTTGCCCTTCTTTAGACACACTCCAGCACCTCAATGTCTGTCTTGTAGTGAGGGGCCCAAAACTGGATGCAGTATTCCAGGTGCGGCCTCACCAGCGCCGAGTACAGGGGCACAATCACCTCCCTGCTCCTGCTGGCCACACTATTCCTGATACAAGCCAGGAAGCTGTTGGC